GAGTAAACTTAAAAAAATCAAAAGGACTATATCCAGTTAATTATTGCAGGCCCTTTTGCTCTTGGCTAAGTAATTGCTCAGTAATTTATTTCTAGTTTATACACACTTCAATAGCAGCAGCTTGTTTCTGACTGGTGACCAAATTGCCATGTGGCTGCTAACAGGTGACTTGTGGAATAAATATCCAGAGTGTGTGTCTGGAATGAGGCAGTGGGGAAGCAAGGGGAACTGAGCAAACTAATTGTGGAGAAAACATCGCCTGCACACTGGAGTCACATCTGGCCTAGGTTATTATTAAGCAAGCTGTGGCTCCATTTAGCCTCAGTGAGAGCGGCCTCAGTGCCCTTGAGAGCAGCCTGTGTGAATCTGAGAGACAAGGAGCACGAGGTGCACATGGTCACAAGAAAATTCCAGAAGGCCGTAGCCCACACATGCGCATGTCAGTACCTCTCTCCCTGTCTGGCAGCATGGGCATGACTTCCTGGATGATGCCAGAGATGACTAACACATGTTAGGCTCTGCCCCATCATTTGTGTCATGCTCCTTAGAAGGAAGCTATTTAACATATGGAAACACTTCCCCCTTTACATTTTGTAGGGTTGTTGAGTTCAGTTATTGTGAAGACAAATAATTCCAACCATGGGGGTGGAAAATGCATCACACTTCAATAAATAGCTTTTTGAAATGTTTAATTCTTTAATGGTGTGGATTTTTTTGCAGCATATATGCATGCAAATTAATCATTATTTTTTGACATACCAAAAGATGATTATAGAAATACTGCTCTAACAACCACAGTTTGTATAATAGAGAGTAAATGATCGTTATTAAAAGGAGGAAAAGTCTTATTTGTTGTATTTAAGTTGATAATCGGCATTCAAACAAAGTTTACGTCTTCATTATGGATTCTATGAAGTTGTGTCCATTTAAACAATTATAAGAATGCGCTATAATCTAGGGCAGTGTTCCTCAGGTATGTCTGTGGTGGGTCATAAAAACCTGCTGATAGGCCATAAAACGATACAAATTTGTTCCCGTGTGCGTCTTACAAGGGCCAGCATGCAATTCCATTGATGGGTTTCCTTTGCAGTGGAAACTGAGAACGGAAGGTAAAGTGAGCCGTTGAGCTCTCCGTTTCTTCCTTATTATTTTGGCTCTGCTGATATGTGTTACAGTCAAAATCGTTCAAGAATCATGGGTCTAAAGTAGCATTTGCCAGCTAGAAGCACATATAAATTTGGAAGCCCGAATTTCACATTTTTACTTGGAAATGCACAATGCATTTGAGCGTAATGAAGACATTGTGATGAGGCACGTGTTTAACATTGTTTAACCTGCTTTTTGGCCTATTTTGCAGGAAAATCATCTTTGTTTTTTGATCATGAAATATTCAATATACTTGGGATTATTAAGGTTCCAAGGAGAAAAGTCTGGGAACTGGGGTTTAGGAGAAATCAAGAAGCACCATCTAAATCCACATGCAGTCATAGCCATAGGCCCACAAATTTGACTGCATTAGCTATGAACTGTGGCTGCACTCCTGTCAATTTGTTCTCTGGCTATTTTACACTATGATTGTTTTGACTGTGGTTACACACACACACACACACACACACACACACAGACTCACAAATTCCCACCTCTGCACAACCTGCATGCAAGTGTGATCTGAGCCGAGGAAGAACTGCCTTGGATTTCTAACCTCTAGCACTATAAGCTCATACACTTCTATCATCAAAGCTACTAAGACTGAGGTGGTGGATTACGGCAGCAAGGAAAACTAGTGCATTAGTGTCAGAGTGTGGCAAGGACAATGAAGAGAAGAAAGCTATCAAGCCAATTTCATTAGAAACATAAACACGATCCTAAATAAAAGAGAAGCAGGCTAAATCAAACAAAACAGGAAAAGAAAAACAGATTTTTTCCATGTTGTGCTTATGCCAAGAAGGCAAGGCTGCCAAGAAAACCAGTCAATAACATTTACCATGTTGACAGCCACAAAGGATAGAACCTATGGTGTCCTTAGCATGCGTCAGCCAGCATCTGACAAAAGACATCCATTTGTAACTTTATAATTTATTACTACAACACCCATTTTAAATGTATTAGTATAAACTCTTACAAAAGAGGAATGGAAGGGAACTTTTAAAAACTTGCCCGAAGGTAAATCTACCAACCCACAGGGCAAACATGATACTAAATTGAATTACTCTGAAAGCTTCCTTTGAAATTGGGGACAAAAGAAAGAGATCACCACTTGCATTCTATATTGTACTGAAATCCATAGCTAGCACAAAATTGTCATTTTTAAGTAACAAGAATGAAGAAACAAGCCATCATTATTTGATGATGATATGCTTAGAACACCCAGAAAAACTAGAATTTTCAATGAAATTCAGAAACTCTTTTCACCAAAAACATAAACTGTATTTCTGTTTACCAGGAATGAGAAGTAACTACTAACACATCATGAATGACACCAGAAAACCAGAAAACTTAATTAAGAAACATTATAGATACACTGCATATATCAGTTGGAAAACCTATTTTAAAAATATTAATTTATCTGTAGATTCAAGACCATCCCCAACAAAATCTCAGTTGATGATATTTTTGAGGTAATTTGGCAAATTGATTCTAAAATTTATATAGATACACATAAAGGCAGTAATTGAAAAATATTTTTGCAAAAATCATTCAGACTTTCTCTACCAGAAAAGAACACACACAGGTTATTTATTAAAAGTGATGATACAAAAAAAAAAAAATTAGTAATATTATAGAAATAGAAAGATGAACCATTGTAAAAGAATAGAGAATCCACAAACAGACCACCCAGATATAGTCCATTGACTGTGACAAAGGAGCATTACATTTACCTATAAAAGTTTCAAGTTTATCATTCTTTATGGCTGAGTAGTATTCCATTATATAAAAAAAACACATCTTTTTTATAGGTCAGTGAATGCAACTCAAGACTGTACTCATAAGTGAAATAAATCAGAGCCATATGTGTAAACATGGTATTGTCTCACCAGTGTGAGAAACTGAACAATTAAATAAGATTCAAAATGTACAATACATATTGTGAATTGGGAAGAAAGTGTTCAAAAGAAAAGAGAAACAATGATAGGGGAAAGAGGAAAGGAAGGAAGGGAAAAGGAAAAATATATATACAAAGATAGTTAGGATAGTTATACAGCTATTTTCTCTTAGTTCATTGAAAAGAGGGGTCTGTGTTAATATTGTTTGGACAATATTTCACGCATATATCTTGTACTCTGAGTAACTACTATAAAGATAACAATATGCAATGTATTAATTATTGATACTTTCTTACCAGTATGTTTTATTTTTATTTTTTTTCTCTTTAAAGTACAAACATTAGAAAAAAGGAGCATTACAGAACAGTGGGGAGATGATATTTTCAATAAATGGCACTGAGGCTATTAAAGTTCCATAAAAACAAAACTGCAGTTTTACCCCTACCCCGCTGAATATACATATACCAGCTGCAGGTGGACTGTTAACTTACCTGTGAAGATTTTGCAGCTTATTGGAGGAAGTGTAGAAGATCCAGTCATGCGCTGAGAAGAGGGAAGGGTTTTTAAAGAAGACCCAGTAAGCACTAATCATCAAGCGTGTGCCACCTGACAGTTCCTTCTCAGGTCCATTTCCCCTCCTTCTTCCCTGACATGCAGAATGCATTGCACTCAGAGAGCTGTGCATGTCCACCTTCCTCCTCATCTAACCCTCACTGCAAATAATATATTTTGGGTCTCCTTCTCATCATGGAAGTGATGGTGTCCTAGCTCCCTGGGTAGCGGCCGTTGGCTGGACTCACTGGAGGGAGTGTGGAGGGAGGAGAGGGACACAAGCTCTTCCTGCCTTTGTAACTCTGGTGGCTCCTCTGACAATGACTTGTCCCTTCCTAGATGGTCTTTCTTCCAAAGGTCCAGAGTCCAGTAGAATCCCATCCCAGGGGCTCAGCTCCCTTTGGGTGCTGCCAGTTCCTTAGCTCTGGACGGATGACTTCCTCCATTGGGAGTGGCAGCTACTTCCTGCTCTCCTTGGTCTCTGATCACCTCTGTAGCCCCTGCTTGGCTTTTAAGCAATTTCAGCACTTTTGTGACTAGATGTCCATATTAAAATCTCTCTATTTAACCATGTGAAGGTGATTTTTTTCCAGGTGACTTGCTTTCCTGACTTATTTCTGACCAAAAGATAAATTCAAAAAAAGATAAATTCAAATTACATTAAAATTGAGAACTTTTGTCATAAGGAAAAGACATACACATATCTTTAATCCGATTACATCAGTGACCCTGAAAACAATTTTTTAAAAAAACTAATATTTGGCATCCGCCAGTTCACTTGATCCAATAAAATTATTTCCTTTCCAATGAAAAGGAAACAAACCCCTCTTCTCTATTTTATTTTTTTCCCTATTGTGTTTGTTTTTTTTTGTTTTTGTTTTTCTCCGGTACCAGGAACCGAACTCACGACCTTGCGCTTGCCAGGCAGGCGCTTTTGCCGCTGAGCTAAATCCCCAGCCCTTTTTTCCCTATTGTGGATATTGGTTTGCAATTAGTTCGTACAATTTTATGTTCTGGTACTGTAATGAAATGCTTAAACCTGGGCAACCTATAAAGTAAAAGATTTATTTAACTCATAGTTTTAGAGGTTCAAGTGCATGGTACTGGCTCTTGTAAGAACCTTGTGTAGATGGCATCCACAGTAGTGGGACTGTATGTGAGCCAGAGAGATTGTATGGTGAGATACAAAGCCAGAGTGACGGTGGTCTGAGAAGAGCTGTATTCATCCTTTGACGGCACAGCTCCAATGACCTAAAGACCTCCCATGAAATCCCACCTCTTACAGGACCTACAGCCCTTCAGCATTGCCACACTAAGGACCAGTGACATGAACCCTTTTGGGGCAAACCATGTACAAACCATGGTGTGGGCTCTAACTCCACAATGTTTTCCATTCATCCACAGAATGCTTTTGATGTGCCAACGGCAATCCTGTTGCTTGACGAAGATGTTCCTGAGGCAATCTGCAAAAGCAAACCTAGGTCTGAAGTGTAAGTAATTTTACAACATTCGTGTACTGAGAACATGGATCTTTTTCCTCACTGGGAGTTGGGGTGGGGTGGAGAGGGAATGAGAATGACTGTTGTAAAATGGAGGTTTCACTCAAAATTTTAAGGATAAATCTTGTGCTGCTTGTGTCCCCAGGGCTGCTGCTGTGCCGGCCTGGGCATCACTGTCAGAACATGGGCTGCTACAGGTGCAGGGGTGGAGCTGCCCCCTCTCCAGACTTCACCGTCCTGAGGGGCTTCCCCGAACCCTGTCTCCCCTTCTGCAAATGGCTGCAACATATGACTGTTCTCAGTTGCCCTTTTGGAGTGTGGCATACGTTCTGTGGTGCTCTTGCCTCATTCTATGTGTTTTACTCATTGCATTTAAAACAAACATATTGCTTTTTAAAAGACAAAGAAAAAGAGAAAAATAAAAGCCCAGTGGTGGACTTCCTGATGCTTAGTGATGAAGGTAAACACTAAACACCTGGAAAACAGCAGGACACTGTTTCCTTCCTGAGAAAAACCTGCACAGGAGTCAGTCCTAAACTCTGGTCAGCCTGTTGAGTGCTGCTGACATTGCAGTCAGGTCTGTTCTCCAACACCATAAAACTTGCAAAAAATAGACCACCAGGGTGTTTTCCACACCAAATCAGCCAGGTTTTTGCATTGTAGTGGTACAGGTGGCTGAGAGTGACATGCAGAATGCACTGCACTCAGAGAGCTATGCATGTCCACCCCCCTCATCTAACCCTCACTGCAAATAATATACTTTGGGTCTCTTCTCAACACAAGGGTTTTCCAGAGGTGAGTATGACGATGAAGCCACACAGGACAGGTTATCAAGAAGAATGTGACCACAACTGCAGCCTCCAGTTCCCACCTCACAGATGCTCCGAGGAACAGTCAAGCTTTCAAACACTCCCTCGTCTCTCTGCAGATAAAAGGCTGTGCTTATTGAGTGCGGGTGACCAGATGACATAGAACCTCCCAGCGGGTGGAAACATGACAACAGTGGAGACAAAACATGCTTATGATTTCCACAGGCACTTGGAGTTTAGTACTTGGCAATGAAAATAATTCCCCAAATGATACTGAATACAAATATTCCCAATTCACTCTACAACATTTATTTCTGTTTTCCTATTCTATATCCTCTTAAAGAGGAAAAATGGTTTTAGGAAACAGCATATGGGAAACTTTCAGCTCAGCCTTCAGACACAGATGAGGAAGCCTCTCTAGCGGCTGTGAGGTAAACTCCCCCCAGATGTTTGATTGTCTGAACATGAAAATGCGTGGATCTCCACCCAAACTTTATGATACACACACCCATGTTCCATTCCGTGTACCAACTGGATGCTCTGTGTGTCACAAGAACACTCGTGTTCTCCCCAAACTCCTGAGTGGGTAAGGGATGCAGCCCCCACATTCTTCCTATCAAAGAAGCAAGTGAGGAATTCATGCCTGGCTTTCCCTGATTAAGCCTGGAGCATGACCTTTTCTCATCCCAACAATGGTTTTATTGAAAAGGAATTTGAGGGGCACAGCAGCGTGCTGGACCTATGCTGGCCAAAGGGCTGACCAGAGCCACATTAGTTTCTCTTTTCACTCTGTGCAAGGTTTTCCTCCTCCTGCTGGATTCCTTCCTCAGGGGTTTCTGCCTCTGCTCCTCTCAGAATGTGTCCTTACAAAAGGACATGGAACTTCTGATTTTAACACCATGTGGTCTCCTCCTAGAGTTGCCACCTGTGGGAATGATGAGCTTCTAAGTATGGTGAGAAGATGGGGTTATTGCCATGGATGCCTTGGGAATCGTATATGTCAGTGGCCCAGGCCTGTCTATGGCCATGCAATTTAAGAATCAGGCTCAGTATGAGGGTCTCTGTCAGTACTGTTCAAATGCCACTGTATCACCTAGGCAGACAATATTCATCAGGGCAGTCTGTCAGTGATACTTCTGTACAGGGGTGTTACGGTTTATGTCTGTGTGTCCCCCCAAAGCCTCATGTGGGCATGGGGCAGGCTTTAAGAGTTTGATGGGTGTGAGAGCTACACCCACCCTGGGGTGGATAGTTTGCATATGTAAGGGGGAGGAAAAGAGTGCTTGAGGCCATTCCTCCCCCATTCTGCCCTGGTGTGTGCTTACGGCTTAGCTGTGTTCTGCTGCTCTGAGCTGTAGCTTTTTGCCATGTGCCACTCTGCCTTATAATCTGCCAAGTATGGACTGAAACTTCCACGAACTCTAAGTGAAATAAACCTTTCCTTCCTTAATTTTGGGCGTCAGGTATTTTGTCCCAGCAGTGAGAAAAAAGTAACCAAGACAAGGGGACTTTAAGACTTTTATGATTTTGATCTACCCAGAAGCCTGTGATGTCCATTTCCAACGTTGAGTTTCTGATATAGTCTTTGCTGAGACAACAGTCACAATTAGGAGCAGCCTTCTCAAATTTCATAACCCCTCACTTGCTTGCCTAATGAAACAAAACAAGCAAACAAAAACCAAACCCTCCCACCTTCTCTGCTGCCCAGAGCTCTTTCTAGTCCACCTGTGTGAGATGCATCTGTCCTCATCTCCACTAGGATTTCTATGCCTGTGAGTTCCACATCCATGGATCCAACCAACCAAAGACCAATGAAAATTGTTAAAAATTCCTGAGATTTCCAAAAAACCAAAATGTGAACTTGCCTTATACCAAGCATGCCATTCAGTCTGTGCAAAAAGTGGTTCCTTGTAGGCGTGCCTTTCTGTAGCCTGCCATTATTTTATATATTTATCTTCAGCCTCTTTCTTTTTTTTTATTTTAAAAATAAAAGGAGGAAAGCATTAACAGACAGACAACCATTTACAAAATAGCAAAAGAACAATACAAATAATACAGAGTTACAAACAAAGTGGTAGGAAATTAACAATGCTTCTTGTATTACATATTGATATCTTCAAAGTGGTTTCTCATGAAAACAAATAGAGACATACAATACTGATCAATCAAGGACTCATTGACAGTTTCTTTCAGCAAAGAAATAGAAGACAGTAGATCAACTATGTTAACTATCCTGTATATACATACATACAAAATTTCTCCTTCTTTCCCTTCTCTTTTCCCACATCCCAGTTGCCCTTTACCCTTGAGCGTTTTCTTACCATTTCACAATGTCTATCATACCTCCAAGTTTTTATTAACTCTTTCAGGTTTTACACTAGTGAGACAATGTGGTGCTTGCACATGCAGGTTTATTTCACTTATGAGTATGGTGTCTAGTTGTGACCATTTACCTATAAAGGACTCGAGTTTATCTTCCTTTATAGCTGAGTAATATTCCATTATATAAAAGTACCACAATTTTCTTATCCAATCCTCGGTGGATGGACATTTGGGTTGCTTCCACAATTTAGCAATTACAAACTGTGCTTCTATGAACATAGGTGCATATATATCACTGTGATATGATGTTTTTAGATTTCCTGGGAAAATACCCAGAAGGGAATAGCTGAATTGAATGGGACCTCTAGTCCTAGTTTTCGGAGGAGTCTCCAAACTGATTTCCACAGTGCTTTCACCAGTTTGTACTCCCACCAGCAGTGGAGAAGAGTTCCTATTTCTCCACAGCCTCGCCAGCATTTGTTATTGGTTGATTTCTTAATGCTAGCCATTCTTACTGGGGTAAGGTGTAATCTCAGAGTTGTTTTAATTTGCATTTCTCGAATGACTGATGATGTTGAACATTTCCTCATGTATTTATTTGCCATTTGTATTTCATTATCTGTGCAGTGTGTATTCCTCTCAGCTGCCCATTTTTGGATTGGGTCTTTTCAGCCTCTTTCTTACACTAGTTTGAACGTTGTTTGTCTCAGATCTCATTCCTGTATTACATGCTTAAGGTGATGGTTATGTTTGTACCAAACATATACAGACTGGGTTTTTATTTTCAGTCACTATTCCTTAAATAGCACAGTATAATGAATAGCTATTTACACTGTATTAGATATTACATGTAGTCTAGAGATAACTTACAGTATGCAGGAATATGTTTATAGGTTATACACAAATGCTACACTATTCTCCAGGAGCCAAAGAACATGTGTGGACTTGGGTAACTGTGGAGGGGAGGACCCTGAGCTCAATTGCTTGTTTATGCTGAGGAATGCCTACATGTATTTTTTTAGGATGAATATGCAAACAGTTAACTTTGATATTAAGTGTGAGGTCCTGTGGAGCATTATCCATTATTCTTGATAGTTACCAAGGTGCTTGCTAGCCTCACAGCAACATCTCTTATGCTTTCTTTTGAATGGAATTAACTTTTCCAATTTCTAATTCCTTCCCTCCTTGTTGACAAAATGATTGATAGATTGAGCTGGTTCCTCTTCAAAACCTTAACTAATGAGTTCCTGCAGATTTTAAGAATAATTCTATCTGTATACCTGTGTTTTTCCAAAAATAGAACCTAGCTGGAAAACAGTCCGACTTGAAAACTAGAGATCGAAAGCACCAGCCAGGATCAGCCCATCCTCGTCTCACCCTGACTCCCTCTTGCCAGTCTCAGCCCCGCAGGCTGCCTCAGGCACAAGCTCATCCTTGGCTCTTCCTGTCATGGACTCCAGCAATCATGCACCCTTCTTCCTCAGATTCTCTACTAAAATCTGCCAAAGCTTCTTATTTTGGCTTCTGCCTCTGGATTTTAAGGCAAACTCTCTCAATACTTTTCCACATATGTGTATCTTCTAGCTAGTCCCACCCACCTGTTACACAATTGTAGTGCCCTCCTACCTCTCAGGTGTGAGAGACCTCCTGTCTCCCCACCAACAACTTTTTATCTCCTTGTCTTCTTTTTTGGCTTAGATATAGTTATAACCTTCATTTATGTGTCTGGTTTTTTAAAAAAACAGTAACTTTTCAGATACATCACAGGCAGACAGGCGGAAGTTTGTCAGATGAACAAAGAGTGTAGCATTCCTGTCCCCAGCTAAGGGTCACAGTCAGAATTTAGGATCTACCTTTGATTTTCTTTATGGATTTTGGGGTCTTGGACAAGCTGTATGACTTTGGAGCTTCCCTATCCTCACCTATAAAGTCTTTCCATGTCTATCCTGGGAAGAATAAATGAGATTACAAAATGTAGATACCCTTGAATATGAATTCATTTGCCACAAAAGATGTGGAATGTCTGGTGATGCTTAAGGTGATGGTTATGTTTGTACCAAACATGTACAGACTGGGTTTTTATTTTCAGTCACTGTTCCTTAAATAGCACAGTATAATGAATAGCTATTTACATTGTATCAGATATTACACGTAATCTAGAGATGCTGGAGACTAGCTGAGGAATTCACTTCTAAACACCCAAGTCTGATTATGGCAAAAAACATTGCTTAAGAGCTTTATCCTGGCTGCTGGATTTCACTCAACTGATGAGCATGCCAAACAAGAA